ACTGCTAGAGGAGTATTTCTCTAACAACTGTCAAATGGAAAACCTCTGACAACTTTTCCTTGTGAATTTTTCCTGTATTTTCCCCTGGGTTTAATTGCACATTGAACTTGTATATGCTTGTAAGTTTTGCATGGACATACGTATGAAGAGTTCTAATTAAAACACACACCTAGAAAGCTATCTCACTTCCCACACCATCAATTAAATAAACCATTCTATTCCTACTGATTTTTGTGGCTTCCTTGATACACATGCACGCGTGTGTCAAGACACACACAAACACACCTCTCTCCCTAACATCTGAACAAACTATGTTTCTCCCTCACTTATCTCTTGATTTATTCTTTTGTCAGGAGGGTATAAAACTTTGGAGAGAAAAGTTAATAGGCTCCATATTAGAACTGCTGGATTTGAGAAGCCACTGAATCATTCGGATGAAAATGTCCAGTGGGGAGTTAGAAATACAGATTTGCTGCCTAGAAGAGAGATGGTAGCTTTATCTGAGGGTCAACGAGATGGCCCGGGAGGACAAGGGGAACCAGCAGAAACGAGGGCAAAGGAAGGAACCAGGAGCGAGACAACAGTTAGTGGCTGGCAGAGGCAAATGGCCACGAGAGGAGCCACAGCTGAGTTGGAGGAAGGAGAACAAGCAGGAGAAAGGAGAAAAGTGAAGGCCTTCGGCAGAGAAAGCACCACGATGAATCATACCTACTTCTTGGTCTAAATACATTAATAACAACACACTGCTCTACTCTAAAGCCTGTCAACAGAAACAGGCGCTCACATCACTGGCCTGGTTACAGCTGCAGAGGGAGGATCTCAGAGCACTGTCCTACTATCTCCGGTGGGCTTGGGGTGGAGAGCCATCGCGTGGTCCACAAGGTTTTGACATGCTCTGTGAGTGACTCACAGCCACCCGACAAGACAGGGTAGAACCGCCCCTGTGGTTTCCCAAACTGTACTTCTTTACAGGAGTAGAAAGCCTGTCTTTCTCCTGCAGAATAGCTGCTCGTTTTGAACTGCTGACCTCGCAGTCCGCCGCTCACCGCGTAACCACGACACCACCAGGGCTCCTGTGCAACAACACTGGCTCAGACATAGTGATGGTGTGGATGGCCCCGACTGGGTGTGTGTGGCTCTGTTGTCCACAGGGCAGCTCTGAGCTGGGCCCAACTCAACGGTACCTAACCTACGCAGCACAACAAAAAAATGAGAGATGAGCTGTGTGCAAGCTCACGCCAACACAGGCCCTTTCAGACAGCTACGTTTCCGTCAGACAGGCAGGTCGGTCCTGTCTGGAGAATGGCCCATAAGCCTGCAGGCTCTGAACAGGAAAGACAAATACAAGCTCAAGCAAAAGCTGCATCCCTCGTCTTGTCTGCCATTTACTTACTGTAAGCCGTGCTCTCAAAGCCCAAACATCGCAATGCCTTCACTGTTTCCCTGATAAGCCCATCACCGGGCCAGCCCTCCATCTTCAGCGGCAGAAAGCTCTCAAAGCCTGCTGACATTTCAGTTCCTTTAAGCTGTCTGTAATAATTGGCCATTTAGGAGAACAGTCTGAAAAGCCAATTTACAAAAGACACGCCCATCTTCCGGTGGGTCTGTTTCTAAATGTAACTACAATAAGGACCACTACCACACTTCCAGCTGGAAGAACCTACAGAGAACTCAAGTGTACGCCTTGTCTCATGACAACGGACAACTACCAAGCGAGGAAAATAAATCCATCACTCTGGAGGGAAAGGGAAAGGTGGTGATAAAGTGCCTTTCATCCCCAGGCTGAGTATTACTTCCTTTCTACTGGATCTCGGACTCGATCCCGGAAAAACACTCAATAAGCAACCCTTGCAAGGCATAACTGAAAAAGTGCCCCTCCTTTTTTGTCAAAAAATAATCTAAGTTAGTCAAAAAACAGAGAGAGAGAGACTGACACCTGCTCCCCAAGAAAGAGGAGACAACAAATCCGAGGTGGTTGCTGTCCGGGACTGAATTCTACTAAACACACAAGATAGAAACCCTAACCTCTGTGCCGGTGGAGTCTCATTTGAAATGCTATGTTCTCAAAAACTCACTGCCTCCTAGTGACCCCCTAGGACAGAGGAGAACGGCCCTGTGCGTTTTGAGAGTGCCATGTCTTACAGGAGCAGAAAGCCTCTTCTTTCTCTTTCGGAGCAGCTGGTGGTGTCGAACTGCTGACCCTTTAGTTAGCAGCCCAACTACAACAGGACATACGGCGTGTTATAAGCTAATCACTTTTGAGTTAGGCAGTCCCCAGACCGGTGCCTACGTCTGTCCCTAAGTTGGGTTTGTAGGTCCCCTGAACAGTTAGAACAGTTTATAACCAATATCCATTGGTCAAATCTGGCTTAGTACATAGTGGATAGTGTACTTATCTCTGCATAAAATACATGAACGCTTCCAGATATACAACAGATATACACATCTTTAACATAGCAACACAGTAATACAATATTTTGGTGTATGTTGCCAAGTACCCAGCATTTGTTATTTTGAACTATCATATGACTTTTTTTAATATAACAGGCTTTGAGGGATAGATTTGGTTAATAACTAGGGATTGTATGGAAGTCAGACGGTTTTCATCGTCCAGGGACTGCCTGGATAGAAGCACAGATTAAAAAATAAAAAACCAAAAACAACTCACTGCCATTGAGTCGATGCAGACACGCAATGACACTACAGGGCAGGGTAGAACTGCCCCTGTAAGCTTCTGAGAGGTAAGTCTTCATGGGAGTAGAAAGCCCCATCTTTCTCCTGAGGAGCTGCTGGTGGTGGTTTTGAACTGCCGACCTTACAGTTAGCAGCCCAACCCATAACCACTACGCCACCAGGACTCCTAAAGAGCAGATTAGGCACAGAAAAAAAGCAAAGCTAAAGGATGGCCAACTCTATGCAAGGATGAAGTTCCAGCCTGGAACTCTTTGTAGCCACAAGTCTGAGAATTCCAAGGGTGGCCAGCTAGACAAGTTGAGACAATGATTTCCCCCAAGAGGCAGTGGAGTCTCTCCCCGGTCGCTGGTGCCCTGAATCAAGACTTCTCGTCTCCCGAGAAAATAAATGTTTGCCACTGAAGGCCCAGCCTGTGGTATTTCGTTACAGAAGCACTAAGAAGAGAAAACAGCGACCCTACAGGCAGTGTGTGGGTGTTGGAGTCCTCCAACAGAGCTGCTGCCCCAATACAACTAGAGACCCAGGGACAAGACACGCTGGGGACATTGCCCATAACCTGCCCCTGGACAATGACTGTAGGAAAAGTGCCCCTCTGCCCCCAGGCTCGCCAGTGTTCAGTTTAACCAGCTGCAACTCCCTTGCATTGGAGAACATGGAATCCATCCATGACAAACCACACCTTCCTGTATCCTGACCACCATCACCTATGCAGTCCCTTCAAGAATGGTCCAGGAAAGCCCACGCCCACTAGATACTACAGGGTCTGGGCCTTACTCATGCTTTTAGGATCTGTGAAGTACAGACAAAGGACACAGCATCTGTTGCAGAAGATGTTAGGGTCAATAACAATTATGGTTATTGAAAACAGCCAAGTGCTCAATGGAGATAAAAGTCAACCACAATATGCACTGAGTTAAGATCATTACTCAGCTTCATTAAACCCCAGATAATCACTGGGCCTAGTGTACCCACTGGCAAGGTTTTTAGCATAGATTTTCAAATAGTTGGCTGAAATAGGAAGAAAAGCACAGAATGAACAACTGAATATTTGGATTAACAAACAGCTAGTCTATCCCCATTACTTATGATTTTGTATTTGCAAATCCACCTCCTTGCCAAAATCAATACTCATGATGCGTTCCCGGTGATTCGTGGGCATGTAGGGCGCAGGGGGCAGTATGAGTCACACCCGCGGAGCTGAGCTAGAGCAAAGCAGTGAACGCTCTGCCTTCTTGTTCGCAACGTCCACCTCACAGCTGATTTAGTGCCACCAGGTTTTGCACATTTTTGTGGGTCTTGGTGCTTCCTTCATTGGACCCCCAAGTGTAACACAGAAGTGCTGCTAACTGCTTCTACCTACAAAAAGGCAGCGAGAAGACTTTGGGAGAAAACCTGAGCATCAGATAAGCTTTGTTCAAGTGTGCGTTACAAAGCCATTGGGTACGAGTTTAAAGTGAATCAACCATATATTTGAAACAAGGTAGCTTTAAGCAGAAACACACATGAAACAAATCAAGATGCTGACAGGTGAATGAAATGCTGTGACTGGAAGTCCCAAACGACTGTACTGCCTACAAAAGCAATGGCTGGGTGTTCACGAATTCAGTGTGCGTGACGACTTTACGGAGCAGGGATTCTTCAACTTTTCCCCCTTGTGACCCCTTTTTGCCTGAAAACCTTTTACACAACCCTAGATAACTGAGCATATAAAACAGGCATACATATCAAATAATCACTGATAATAAATCATAACAAAATTTAATTTAAAACAATTCTTTTGTGTAAATATAATGCTACCATTTATTAAAGATGAAAGCAACCTTCATACTAATGAGATGGTCTTGTTTATTTTAACAGGAAGAATTAAATCTTGGCGGAATGTTGGCTACCGAAGGATGAAGAGAATCTTAAGCGCTTTGCAAAGTTGATCGATACTTTTATTTCAGAATTGTCAATGCTGAGAACACTGCTTTGCATAGCTATAAAGTACAACACAGCAGAAGTATGTTTAGGGCCATTCCAAAAATTATTTTTGGAAAGTTGGCTTTGAATGAATTTTTGATTGTTGGGCGTTCAGAACCTTTTACTGTTGCCAAAATTTTCACGACTCTACAGTTTAAGAAGTTTTGTTACGGGGCACAACTACCACATATTAAAAAAGAATAAAGGGATGCATCTACTTTATCCAAAATTCTACAAACAAGTTTATCTTAAAGAGTCTGGATATGGCACAAGGAAGTCATTATCCATTTTCAAGAACACACGGGTATTTTTTTAATAAAAAAAAAAGATTAAATAAGACTTACCGGCAAAGTTCCAGGCAGAGATGCATCAAAAAAAGAAACCAAGGAATTTGGGGGTGCTGCAAAGTGAACTTGAGATCCAGAGAAGAGTTTAGAGTTGGAGGAAATCTGCGCATGAATTTCCAAACCAACCACAGCTTCCCATTCACGTGCACTAAAGAGAAAGACACAAAATTAACAAGTAGTTATGCATGCGTTTCTGAGGCTGAAGCCCACTCATTTCCTACTTCTGTTTTTAACTTCATGAAAGTTTATACCCTTCCATTAAAAAATGTGTCCTATTTTATTGGTGATGAAATAAAAAACGAACACTTCCAACAAGACTGGCAAAATAAAATTCATTTCCTACTTGGAAGTAGGAAATTTCACTGTGCAAATAAAAAAAGTGATAGAGAAGGGAACGATTTGGCATCTTTAACAATTTAGGAATGGGTATCAATTGACGAGTGCTTGGCTGACTGCAGTGTAAAGCCACATTTGCTAAATTACCTGTCTCCTATCAATTCATCATTTGGTAAATGAAAACGGATCTTGTGAACATTATTTAAAATCACCATAAACATCCAGATTTTATTATTAGAGGGATAACAGTAAATAAATCATTCCAAATCTCTTTATTAAAAAAGGAAATTGACTCTCAGGTTGTTGATCTATTTGATAACATTATCCTGAATATACAGTCACCAGAATGACACAGGTAAAACAGATCACCACAAAAATTGTATTCCTCCTGGCAATTTTGTGCCTAGAAAAACATTAACCCGTTGGAATTTTAAGGGTCCCCAAATAATTTTAAATTCCTAAAATCTGCTTGTTTGTTCCGCTTTAGCTGCTGTCCAATCTTGGGAGCTGTTCAGTGTTACAAGACACATTCTAATCAGGCCACTCCTATTCCGGGGGTCTGCATCACTCCTTCCCGCCCCAGTTCTCTCCAGGTGTGCTTAGTCTCTCTGAAAGTAAGGCATGCTGGGCAATCCCCACGTGGTCTTTTCACACTCTTCACCTGTCTGTTCTTACTACTCTTTCTCCCAAGCAATGCTCTGTATTAGCCATACTTTTTGTTCACTGGTATGAAGTTTTGTTTTAATAATTTCAACATGAGGCTCTACATGTATATCTTTTTAGAATCTTCTAAAAGAAGATTCACTCCTTTTGAAGGTACAAAAACATGGCTTTTAACTGAGGGGAAATAAACTAAGAGTTCATTAGAAATTCTACATTGACTGAAGAATTATTCAAAGTAGTTTCACAGTTTGCATGAGAAAAAAATGTTTTTTTCATCCTGAGAGAGTGTCTAATTTATGAAAAGAATCAAAACTGAATGCTTCCGGATATTTCTCTAATTATCTCAAAGGATAAACAAAATATTAGAAATGAGTTTTATGTTTCTGTATTTCGAAGGAAAACATTTGTCTTACATAATAAAGCATAAGCATCTCTTGCGCGGATACCTAACAAAGTAAGCACAATTTTCTCCGTAACTAAGGGGGAAAAAAATCTTCCCTTTGCTGCAGCCTCCTACTTCTAGACACACAGACCCAAACAAACAACACACTGCCATGGAGGTGAAGCCGACTTGCAGCGAACCTACAGGGCTGGCTAAAACTGCTCCAGTGAGTTTCTGAGGCTCTAACTCTGTACCAGAGTAGAAAGCGTTGTTTCTCCCCAAGAGCGGCTGGTAGTTTCGAACTACTGACCTTGCAGGTAGCAGAACGAGAAACCACAATCACTAGGGCTCCCTTGTTCATTAAAAATCACCTCCATGCATCGCTAATGTATTCTGGCTAATGACTTGAAGCCAAAAGGGCCCTCGCTGGCAGTGGGTAAAGGACGCGGCTGCCAAGCGAAAGCGGAAAGGTCGGTACTGTAGTTCTAAACATGGGATAAAACGGCCTTGAAAACACCACGGGGCTGCTCTACTCTGTCCTACACGATCACTAGGAGCCTAAATCGAGAGTTTGTTTTCCGTGTTTCAAGTAAAAAACTTCTACATACAGGTTCCATGAGGATAGGGCTGGCTCATTCTAGCACTCGCTAAGGTCAGCTAAACAGGATGCCTCTGCTAGTGTCACCGTTTCTCATAATTAGGTGAGTCAATCTACTCTCGTCGGTGCAGCCTTGGCGCCAAGAACCACCTGTGACTTTACACTCCCAAGTTCCCCACGTGCATTTTCTAGCGGAAGCCGGCCTTTTGTGTGGAGGCAGGGATAAGAGGACTTCTTTTGTGTTTCCATTTAGGGTTCACGCCTCCAAATCATCGCAAAAACACCCCACCTCCCACTAAAGCTCGTAGGAAAAGACTCGACTGTAGTTGCCACCATCTCTCCATGCCCGCGGTCCCGCCTCTCAAACGGGCTGTAATGGGATAAAACAGCTTATACCCTTTCCTCGGCTCCTGGGCTGTGAGGGGTGGCGGCGGAGCCGTTGACATCTGTCCCCTTATCCCGCCGAACGTGAAGCCATTCGGAGCCCCTCGCCGGAGGCGAGAGCCGCGGTCAACGCCGGCTAAAGCCCAGCATCTTCCCGCACAGCCCAGGCGAAGCACGGGCGCCGCCATGGCGGAGCCAGAGTCTGGTCAGGTGACACGGGTTCCCTCCACCGCGAGGCTTCCTGGGAGATGTAGTTTTGGAAACGTGTGAAAAGCTCGAAAGGCTGGGACCGGAAGACTACTACTTCCATGGAGCTTTGCGGCTCAAAGGTCGCCGGAACCCGGCGGGGAGGGGCGCGGAGAAGTAGGAGCGGATTGGTCGGCTTCCGGGTCGGGAGGTATGACTCTTCCTCGTCGGGTATTGGGCACGTTAGTGGCCGTGAGCTTGTGCTGGAGATCGGAGTATAAACGCTTAGTGCTTGAAGTGCTGATCCGGAGCGGCTCGGCTGGGACTTTTAGCTCCTTTACTCGTGGAGTGTAAACGACCTGGGCCTCGCCGCGAAGTGTTCCTGGATCACCACGCCCGCACTTAGCTCCCTTCACACATCTTTGTGGCCCATAGGCTCATGGCATTTCGTTTCTATAGAAAAGAGACATATAAGAATGAAACGAACAAAATAAGATAATTTCATGTAGGAAATACTATATTTAACCAGAGATGCTTTGAGGAAAGGGGCTAAACCTACAGTTGCACGTTTACTCACTCTTTGGAGGTACCTAAATGTCTAAACAACTCACCTTGTGTGCAATGACGTCTGTAATAGCAAATACCTATCATCCCAGCGGACTTAGACTTTCCTGCATCCAAACTCATACCCCTTGCTGAAATGATACGAGTGCTATTCAACCCTTCTCTAGAATATCTATGCTTAATTCTCCAGGTAGTACTTTAGACTCCGAACTTTGCCTTCTGTCTCCATAAACTACGTTAGAGTGGAAACCTTGCTTGTCTCAATATACCTGTAATGGGCTTTAAAAAAATACTAGTTGAATGGCATAGGTCATTGTGAAGAATGCATTTTGCCAAGATGGAATAGAGGACCTCAGGAGTACAGTGGTGATTAATTGGGTAAGGGAGTGGAGACAAAGGGAAATAACCCAATTTGAGTAGATTTCAGGAGTTAGGTTGAAAGACTTGGTTGGCTTAGATTTTGAGGTGAGAGACAAGAGGTGTCAACTAACTTCTGGATTTCTGGCTTGCACAACTAGAGAACTGATGGCAATTCGCAGAGAAAAGGAAACTATAAAAAAGCCAGACTTCCAGAGTTGCCTTGGAGACAACGGAAATGCCACGTCAAGTTGGCATCATTGACTACAGAGCAGAACAAAAGCTGCATACTCTGCATACTTCACACCAATAGTCCTGTCATTCTTGATCAATAATTATTGATTAATCAACGATTTGTTCCCATTAATACTCTTGTCAGCTATACTATTTCGTCCCACGATATAATCGTGGAATCAGTTTTTAGTTATTGTATGTACAATTGTCATTGTTTATTTTTCTGTCTTTTCTCCTTTTAAAATCCATTAGGACTGTTCCAAATGTGTCCAGCAGAAGTTTTTTCACAGGCCCAAGAAGGAAAATGAGAGAAAGCAACAGAAAATGGAAAGGGAAATTTATCTTTTAACGGTGGCCCATCTTACAGATCACTCTTTAGACTCCATGAATGTTTTCTCCTCTGACTGTCTCTACTTGTGGCTTTTACTTGTGGCTACTTGACATCTCGTCTTCATGTAACTCAAGTTGTTCTGGCCCAACTGGGGATCAGGAGAGGAAGAGCCTCTGAGCTGAGCATCCTTCTGCCTTTGATAACACTATGAGAACGACAGAAATCCTGTTCCTCGGAAGTGAGTATGGGCACCCTCTACCCCCAGGAGAGGAAGGCCTTTGTTACCGTGTCCCTGATATGTAGCATGCTCAGGAGACATCGTTCCTTAATAGAGGGAGACTGGAGGTATTTTGAGGACCTTAGTAACAGAAAGCAGAACACCCAGGGAACCTTCTACTTTATGGGCAAAAGGCACCATCGTGGGACTTGTCTTTGTTTCTGAAGACTATGATGCTGAGACAGGATGCTATTTCAGAGGTCCCCGCCCCACCACTAGAGGGAGAGAACAGCCTATACATGTCAGCGCATGCGAGGCCTTTGACAATGGAAGTGTCTGGAGTCAATGCATCTTACATGTACCTGATCGTGGCCCTTTCACAGTCTCACAGGAGCACATGGTGGAAACGTGGTCCTGCCATTCATGTCCCTGGATCATTCCACGGTCATTTCCAGAAATGCCTGTTGATGTCCTTTTGCTTGGTCTGCTGTTTTTGAGTGCCCTGGTTTCTAAGCTTCCCTCCTCCTTTGCCCTTTGGGTCATCAGGCTCTCCCCAGTGAACCTTCTTCTGGAGGACCATTTCTCCTGTATGCCAAATCTGCTATATGTCAGACCTCCTACAGACAGCTCTCTAGCAGAGAGAGTTATTTTGGTTCCACCCCAAAGGTGGCTGTCATCTGGGTGACATGGAGATGTGCATTTCCAGGGAGCTCAGAAAGCAGTCGGACAGGGCTTCCAGGAAGAACAACATTTATGGGGAGAGCGTCTCAGCCTTCACTTTATCCCTGGAGGTCACCCAGGACAAATAGTCAGAGCATGTTTTTTAAGGGACAGAGAAGCCAGAGAAGGATTTTGAGTTATTACTTAGAAATGATGATAGTTTGGAAGGAAGGCTAAAACAACATATTTGCTTTTGCTTTGTGTTCTTCGCAGACTCTAGGAGTGTCAGAGCTAGAACTAACTGGTTCTCCTTTATTTCACACCAGCTCCCCAGATAGCGAGATAAATACATGGATTTCTGAACATGAATCGAATCATCGCACCACTCCCCAGTATCTAAGTTGTGTATATTTGCAATCACTCTCTTATTCTTCACTGTTGGAGGTTTGGGGGATGATAAGAGAAACAGGGTGTTAAAGGAGTTCCAAATTCTTCAGTACTCTGCATACAGTTTGAAAGGATGATACATGTAGTTCTAAGCTTCCATTTTTAAAAGTGCAGTAAATAATTCAAGGGGGAAGCATTAAGATTTTGAATAAAATTAAAAGAAGATCATCTCCACCATGTGTTTGAATAATGGATCATGGCAATGTATCTGAATATTTATTTGCATACATTTTTGCATTTCACAATTATGTTCTTTGTTTAACTACTTCTGTCCTGTGGAAGCAGCCAATGCTTTCTATAAAGCCTAGTGATGAGACCAATGATGGTGCATTGGTTAAGCACTAGGCCGCTGACCAGCGTGTCCACTGTTGGTATCACCAGCTATTTCTGCACCAGAAAGATGTAGCAGCCTGCTTTCATAGAGGTGTGCAGCCTTAGCAACCATACAGAGCAATTCTACTCTGTCCTACAAGGTATCAACGCCACCATAGCACACAACAACAAATACAGCACAATGCACCAACTAGTCCAACCAAGGTGAATGTAGATGATTATCTCCGTGTTTGTCAACATCTTTCTGATGAGATCACAGTTTGTAGTTTCTCCCTGTCTTAAAGCTTCCCAAGACCATAAGACTCACCAGTTGCCTGGAAGTTTTATGAAGGGAGGGAGGGCACTTAGGGCAATGTAAGTTCTCTTTAAAAGCACACACAAAAGAATCAAATTTAACATCATGTCCAGACACTGAAAATTGACAGCGTGGTTTTCATACAGGAAGATGCTGGGAGTAGAGGAGGTGCCGTGTCTGAAAAAGCATTCTGAAAAGGTTAAGTTCCTCCTTTGAAAACCCACATTTTAAAGATCCAGTTCTGTGTCATTGCGGGGGTGAGGGAGAAGGACTGGGAGAGTTCTTTGCATGCTGGGCAATTGGGAGAACAAGATTCATTTCTTTTTATTTTACCATTAAAGTCCTGATTCTGATAAAATACCGAGGCAGAGGGAACAATTGCTTTCTCTAGAAGATTGCTTTGAGGCAAAGAAATCTATAACTTTTTCTTCCTTTCCCATTCAAGGAAATAGAACATCCTGTCCAATGTCTTTGTAGAGAGGAAGTGCTGTCTGGGGACGAGGAAGCCAACGCATGGCTGTGACTAGGTTTCCTGCCCCTAACCTGCCATCGCTCTGTGGTCTTCCCCCATCGGTCTAATCTCTAGGGACCGTGTGCTGTTTTCCTAGGTTTCTTCTCATCCTGATATCTGACTAGTCCCTGGGAACAAACAGGAATTATGTCCAAGTAAGAAGCTGCTCCTCAGCTGTACACAATCCCCTCAACTCACCACAATCCCCTCGACTCACCACGTACTTTATGCAGGAGACCCTGGTTCGATTCCTAGTGCATGTGCCGCATGCACTCTGCTAACCATCTGTCTGCCACTGCAGTCTTCTGGGTTGCCTGGTACTGCATTTCCAGTCTAAGAGTAGTAGGAAGAAAGGCCTGGCATTCTGCTTCCAAAAATCAGCCATTGAAAACACTATGGTTCACAAAAAGCCAACCTCAACCAATCATGGAGCTGGGTCAGGACTGTGCAGCAGTTTCAGGCCGTTGTGCCCAGGTTTGCCATGGGCTGCCCACTGGACAGCAGCTAGCAACAACAATACCCAAACCCCAAACCTAAGTGACTGCCATCGAGTCAATGCCCACTCCTGGTGACCCTACAGGACCAGACGAACTGCCCCGGCGATGTTGTTTGTGAGACTGTAACTCTTTATGGGACTAGAAAGCCCCATCTTGTCCCGTGGAGGAGCTGGTGTTTGTGAACTGCTGACCTATGGATAGCAGCCCAATGCGTAACCACCGCACCACCAGGGCTCCCTGCAGCAGCCATAACACTCACAGCCATGGACTAGAAGTGCCCCCAGCGGTTTCTGAGACTGTCACTTTTTACGGGAAAATTGCAAGTCATGGGTGGTAGAATATGCGAGTCGTCACGGTCTTGTAACACGGTTGGCGTGTGGTCAGATCCCTGCTATGCACTAGGGAGCTCTCACCTCTGTGTTTTGGAATGTGATATTTAGCTTTCAGAGTTTGAGAGCTTGTACACACACACACACACACACACACACACACACACACACACATTTCTAAGCAGTCTCTCAGTTCCGGATCATAACCAGGAGTTTTCGGTTTCATCTGACTTCAAATCTGA